ATCGAGGAGCATTGATCAAGGGGCACATTTTGTGTGAGTTTCAAATTCGTGCCTTGAATACCTCGGCCTCTAAATCAAGCCCGCATTACATACAACATAGTGGTTGGGTGGGGCCATGTAGCAACAATTACAATGACGAATGGCATGGCTCGGGAAGGGTCTGAAGTGGATTTGGTCTGATCACCTGTCTTGACTTTCGGATATTAAGGATAACCTGGCGAGCTGCATTTGTTCGAAACAGTGATTGAGTAATGGCATCAGAGAAGCAATGCGGTTGGGATTGATGGCGAGGCTATTAAGCCAAGCTTTGATCAGAAGGATTGTTAATAACAGAGGTCCCTTACCTTTGCGTTTGCACCTACAATAAGCCGCGTGCAGTGCGACTCGTCTTCAATCTTGCAACAAGTCCGCTAGATTCTAACACAGAAATAATGTTAGACTCTGTGCCGAAAAGCTCTTAATCATAAACATGACACACCTGTAAATCTGTCTCTGTAGGCTGAACTATGAAATGGCATTGGACTTTCACTTTTTCAAACGTTGCCACCAAATCAAGATCGTACATGGTTGTGTTTTTGGGTATTACACAAATGACGTGCTTAAGCTTTTGAGGCCATTTGTAAATCGGAAGCGTTGTTAAAGATAAGATACTGCGCCAGTAAACACTGCCGTGCCAGTAACTCGTGACAAAAACCTCGATTGTTTGTAACAGTGGCCATTCCAGCCAGGCAAGATCCCAATGGATTGGGTGACAATATTCACTACGCAATACCCAAAGTTTGGGAAAAGTCGTGCTTTGAAGTGCCGCCGGGACCCGGTCAGGGATGGAAATTATGAAGAGAACTTTGAGCGATGCCTTAAGTTCTAAGGCAATGAGCCCGGCAGCGTCACACTCTCCATGGGTAAACAGTTCGAGGCAACTGATTCGTCTAACACTTGAACGGCAAATATCAATTCCAACGTCAATATTGCCAAGGTCGCAGTCTAGCCAAAAATGTCGTAAATGGGGCAGAGAATCGTGGTTCAAATTCATTGACGGTAATGGTGAAAGTTTGAGGGATAAGGATTTGAGCGAGGACGTAGTTTCAAGCGCGAGCTTGATCGTTTGCAAATTGTGCATAGTACCTCGGCAAGCCGAACTTTCAATCTGCAGCGCGCGGAGACCAGTTGCAAGCTGGAGAGCGCTCCGCAACACCGGAACAAACCCAACGTGTCCTGTGAAGCGTAATTTCAATTGGATCAAGGTTCTGCGGCACAGCGATATGATTGAGGCCGCATTCTCTGGCGAGATAGAAAATACATGTGGTGGAGGCAGGTTTGTTGTCGTCTCGTTGGTGGGAGATTGCGAGGGAGGTTGTGAATGGTACAATCCGTCCAAATAGAGGTGTCGTAATCAAGGCAGGCCAGGAGTGATGTAAAACTCGTTCCAAGTACGTGTAAGGCTGTGAGTCATCTCATTACGAGTCAAGCGGAGTCTGTCAAAAACAACGGGAAGAATGGCGATGTCCCATGATCTAGCAACCAAGCGTAAGTCGAGCAATCGAGTGATGCATGAATGATGCAATGATAGTACGTCAGTGCAATTAGTGCGGTCGGGGCCAATGACAGGTCTCGAGGATATGAATTCTTGAATGATGCGTTCAATCACCTCAACTGGAATTTGTGGGACCCTAGGAAAGTAAGGCACAGGGGAGTGTGATGTCAATAGTTTTGGTGGCATGATCCTATAGAAGTCACAGGGACGAACGGTTAACCTCGGCGGGCTTGGGTTTTATGCTTTGAAAGGTGATTAAAACTATATGCCCCCAATCGCCATGATCCAATGTTTGAGGATCATATGTTGACAGATAAGACTGTCGCTGTGAAAACATATCGTGGGCTAAAGTCGTACGTTGGAACTGCAGTCTTGACGTGAACTCGGATGTTTGGGTAGGCTGCGTGTGGTGGACGGAAAGTATGACTATAAGCATGCTGACTGTTCGTAAGATTGAAAATGGTCGATTCGAGTAATAATTTGTGGCAGTTGGCCCTCATAACCTGAAATCTGGAACGTGAAAGGGAAATCTCGGGTAAGGATGTTAAGCCAGGCAAGAACGCGGTGTGTGTTCGGAACGAGTTCGCATGTCGTGGCAGCGTGGCACGAACCAATGGAAGGTGGAAACGTGGGTTAGTCCTGAAACAAATAGAGAGGAGGAGTAATCGGCAAGGAAGACTGTTGTAGATGGATGCCACGTGGCTCAAAGATATGAGGATTGGGTCAGGGGTAAGAGGCAGTAGGACACCTAAGTTGGGGTATGAAAGCGTAGAAGTGCCACATAAGTGCTTAGATAAACGGCATCTTAAGGCCTTAAGGGTTTAATCCAGTTTTGCCGAGAAACTGGGTCGTGCTTTTAGTGTTATGATTTCTAACACTACACCAAATGTAATCTTTACCCGGCGGTAAAGAAAACTACTGACATAGGAAAGTCCTGAGGCAACAGGAAGAGAGCTAAAAATCTGAAAAAATATGCACCTTGTTCCTAGATGTTGGGGAGTCATGATGAGTATTTTTTTGTATTTTACACGCAGATATTGGTTTATGTACTAACAATAAACGCTGAAAATCATCAAAAACTCACATGTAACAATACCTGAAATTTGGGTCATGAGTATGAAGACAATATTTCACAACAAGAAAGATAATATTTTCTGGGCAGAAAATTAAATTATTGATACACAAAAATATTGAGAGGCCAGGAGGAGAGCAATAGATGAATAAAAATATGCATCTTGTTCCCTGCGTTGAGAGCTTCACTCTGC